GTTTGTGTAGTATTCCACTCTGTGGATGGACAACTGATTTCTTTAGACAATCTTCTACTGATGGATATTTGGACTGTTTTCAGTTTTTTATTATAAATAATGCTGTCATGAGCACCCAGGACATATGCTTTTGTGCATTCATAATGGTAAAGCTGTAGGTTAGATTGTTGGGTTAAAGAATATGAACATTTAACATTTTAATAAATAATATCAAATTGTCCAAAAACACTGAATCAATGTAAAATTCCCCCAGGAAAAGAGAGCCTTGATTTCCCCACATCTCCCCAGCACTCGGTGTTAAGACTATTTTTCAACTCTGCTAATCTAATAGGCAAAAAAAAAAAAAAAAGCTCTCTCACAAACTTTGCACATTTAAATTGCTAGTGCAGTTTGGCATCTTTTGTGTGTTTATTGGACATTATGGCCCGCCCAAATCTTTTGCCCATTTTGCTATTAAATTGCTCATTAAGGCTGCGTGCAGTGGCTCACGCCTGTAATCCCAGCACTTTGGGAAGCTGAGGCAGGAGGATCACTTGAGGCTGGGAGTTGGAGGCTGCAGGGAGCCATGATCACACCACTGCACTCCAGCCTGGGTGACAAAGCAAGACTCTGTCTCTAAAAAAAAAAAAAAAAAAATTGCTCATTAAAATTTTTTTCAGGGGCCAGTTTCTAAGTAAAAAAAAAATTTAAATGTTTTCAGTTATTAAGAGTTCTTTGCAGGCTAAGAATATTAACTAATTGTCTGCTGGATATGGCAAAATGTATTTTCCCTATATATTGCTTTTCTTTGGGGTGTTTTTGCTACTCAATAACTTAGAATTTAATCCTAGTCAAATTAATTTTTTCATTTTAGCTGCTGCGTTTACAACATTCTCAAAAAGGCTTTCCCTACCCCAAGATCATAAAAATATTCACTTATGTTGGGGTTTCACACCAGTATCCAAATGCTGGGTCCCTTAAGGGCATAGCTGGAGGAAACGGAGGGGTGTGGTGGGGGGAGCACAGCCCAGCCTGGTTTTCCATTAACTCCTCAGTGGGATCCAGAAGCTGCCATTTCCCCCCAGGTGGCCCAGCTCATGGCAGCCCGGGGCCCACTGTGTCTGTCCTGCAGGCAGTTCCAGAAGGCGGAGGACCACTTCTCGGTGGCCATCCAGCACAACCCCCAGAAGGCCCAGTACTACCTGTACCGGGCCAAGAGCCGGCAGCTCCTGCAGAACATTTTTGGGGCCTGCGAGGATGTTGCCACTGTCCTCCTTCTCAACCCCCAGCAACCGAAGGTGGGTGCCTGCGGGGCCAAGAGAGTGGGCTCCAGGCTCTATACCCCTGGCCACCTGAAGATACTCCCCATCCCCAAAAGAAATCTGGCTTGATAATAATAAGAGCTGCTAATGCCAGAGCATTTACCACATGCCAGGTGGGGTTCTAAACCTCCTCACCACCCCACAAAACAGGTAACATTATCACTCCTCCCCCAATTCACCCATGAGGAGAGGAAGGCTCAGAGCAGGCAGTTCCCTTGCCCAAGGTCCCACAGCTTAGTGGTCAAACCCACATCTGGGCCAGGCGCGGTGGCTCACGCCTGTAATCCTAGCACTCTGGGAGGCCGAGGCGGGCGGATTGTTTGAGCTCAGGAGTTCGAAACCAGCCTGAGCAAGAGCGAGACCCCATCTCTACTATAAATAGAAAGAAATTAGCCAAACAACTAAAAATAAAAAAAATTAGCCGGGCACGGTGGCATATGCCTGTAGTCCCAGCTACCCAGGAGGCTGAGGCAGGAGGATTGCCTGAGCCCAGGAGTTTGAGGTTGCTGTGAGCTAGGCTGATGCCACAGCACTCTAGCCCAGGCAACAGAGTGAGACTGTCTCAAAAAAAAAAAAGAAAAGGTCAGTGGAACACACCAAGGCCTGGGACCCTCGGGGTCTGGGCAGAGTGTACCCAGCCCAGGGCCGAGGGATGTGGCCAGCTACAGGCTTGCAGGCCTGGCTCTGCTACCCCTCAGCTGTGTGACGGGCTAGGGACATCTTGCTGTGAGATGGAGATGCTACCAGCAAGGGGTGCTCCTGGGGGAGGGTACGTGAGGACATGGACCCTCAGAGGGAGGCTTCACACACTTTGCCCATGGTCACCTTCACGAATTCTGCTGGGTACACTAGCCACCTGTGCCAGAATTTTCTTAATTCTTAAATTTGTTTCTAAAAACCTTTTACTGAATGTAACGTAAACATAGAAAAGTATACAAATCCTCAGTGACCGGGCCAATGAATTTTCACAAACCGAATACGGCCATAATGCCATTACCCAGCTCGAGAAAGGACACATTCTCAGCTCCCCCGAAGCCCCTTGGTGCCCCTTTCAGCCGCTCCTGCAGCCCCTCAACAGGCTGTCCTGATTCCTAGTGCCACACACGGGTTTCTTCCTTCGAGTAAATGGACAAACACGTGCGCCTCCAGTCTCTGGCTCCTCTCACTAAATGCTACATTTGTGCGAATCATCCATGTCACTGCGCGTGGCAGCAGCCTGCTCCTTCTTGCTACTGTAGAGTAGTCCGTCCGTCCGTGAACAGCGTATTTCTCTATTCTATTGCTAACAGACAGCAAGTACACTTATGTTCAAAGGAGACTTAATGCAATTGAAGTAAATGGAATTCTAGGGTCCCTTGCCATAAATGGAAAGTGCTAGCCCTTCCTTCTAGCTCACAGCAGAATAAATACGAAAGTACAGAACTTCCCTCTGTGTACTCGTTGAGTCACCCCGGGCTCCCTCCCTCGCTGAAGTGTGCGAGCCCAGAGCACAGGGCCCAGTGCCCAGCTGGTGCCTAGGGCACGTCAGCGTCCCTCACTGCCTGCGGTGTGAACGCACCCAGGAGTCCAGCAGACCTGGATTCAAACCTGGCTTCTCTGCTTCTTAGCCGAGTGGCCCTGGGCAGTTTGCTCAGGTGCACGGAGCCTTGGTTTCCTGGTCTGTGAGGTGGTCACTAACAGCAGTGGCCTCCTCTCCCTCTCCCGGGTGGTGAGGGGATGAGACGAGGTCGAGCATGGGGACTCTCATGTCCTCAGTAACCATGCCCCAGGGCACAGCCCGTGTGGTCACAGAAGCCCGTCCCACACGCGAACTAATTTCCGTCTCATAGGTGGGAGCACTAAGCCTTGGCAGCCCCCTGCACACCGCCTTTTTCATGGCACCACGCCTGTCAGCGTGGTCCTCCCCTTCCTCCGCACCCCACCCACCCTCAACCTGGTGCCGCTGAGGAGCGCCGAGCTCGGGAGGGCCATCCCTGTCCGCTGCAGGGCCCCAGCGCCTGCTGGCCTTGCAGAACTGTGGCTGCTGGGGCCTCCCACGGTCTGGACTGCCCGGTCTGTTTCCTGCCGCAGGAGAAGAAACCGGACAAGGTGACGTCCCTGTCGGACAGCTACCTCGACGAGACCTCTTCAGGCTCCGCCTTGGGCTGTAAGTCCCTGGTGCTCCTGCCAGGCCTAAGTGAGCCCAAGCAGCAGAATGGTCAAAGGCCAGGGGTCCGAGATAGCTGGCCTGGGTGTGAATTTGGGCTCTGCTGTTTCTAGCTGTGTGGCCTTGGCACATGGCTCCAGAGCAGGAGGAACAATCCCAATCTTGCAGGTGGTGGCGGGGACTCAGTGGGACGATGCCCGGCACAGGACAGGGAGGCTGAGTCTTGCTCCTAGGCACATCACCGTTGCTGCTGCTCATGCTTGTTCCCCTCCCGGGCCTGTCCCTGAAATAAGCCCACAAGCCTTGTGCACTTCTGAGACGCTCTTCCCCACAACTCGGCCGGGCACCCACCTGGAGGAGACAAAAGTGAAAAAGCTGGTCCCCAGGGCCAGTGTGCGCAGTCCTTGGTAGGGAGGAAATGGTGGTGCCCAGGCCCCCTCCTTCATCTGGTGCGATCCAACACATGCAGAATGCCCTGGGCCAGACCTGTGCCTGACACTCGGGACAGGGATGACTGGCACAGTCCTCGCCCTGGGGCATGAGCTCTAAGTCGACTGTAAAAGGAGGAAGGCATGCAGGGGATGAGACAGCAGGAGATAGTGTGGAAGACAGTGCAAGGGAAGCCCGGGGGCCTTTGTGTGCACTTAGCCTCCTTTTGGGGGGGCCAAAAGAGGCTTCTAGGACCTGAAGGAAGAGCAGGGGTTGGCCAGGTGTGGGATGGGTGGAGCAGGGCACTGCTTGGGGAACGGGCCCAGAGCCTATGGTCTGTTTATGTGGCAGGAGCACAGAGGGCAAGGGGCAGCCAGGGAGTGGAGGCCAGGCCTTGGCAAGGGGGGGGGTCCTTGGGCATCGTCCCCCTCAGGCATCTCACAGCCCCAGCCCACCTCACGGCCTGGGGAGCCGAGGCAGGCTGGGCTGCTGTGGTCCACCAGCCCTTTCTTTACCTTTGGCCGCGCAAAGCTTTAGGGATGTAGGCCAGGGTGAGACCTGGAGGCCCCTTTTTCTGGAGCTGTGCAGGGGAGGCGGGGCAGGGCTGATGGGTGCTCTCGGCACACCCTTCCCAGTGAGGATCATGAGCACCTCGGAGATGGAGACGTCAACTACCTGCGAGGAGTATAGGAGCACCTCTGCTACCGCTGTGACATTCTCCGACTCCTCACTCCTGAAGACTCAATCCTCAGACTCCAGAAACAACAGGGAGGACCTGCACCTGAGCCACAGCCCCAGAAAAGCCAAGGCTACCCAGGGCCAGGGGCAGAGGCCCAGCAAGACCAAGGCCACTCAGGGACAGAAGCAGAGCCCCAGCAGGAGCCCCAGCAGGAGCCCCAGCAAGACCAAGGCCACCCAGGGAAAGAGTCGGAGGCCCAGGAAGATCAAGGCCACCCAGAGCCCAAGGCAGAGGCTCAGAAAGTCCAAGGGCTGGAGCTGCAGATCCAGCAAAGCTGATGCCACCCAGGGCTGGGGACTGATCCGAAGTTCCAGCAAGACCAAGGCTTCCCTTGACCTAGATTGGAGCCCCAGGAAGCCTGAGGCCACCCAGGGCCAGAGCCAGAGGCTCAGCAAGGCTGAGACTGCCCGGAGCTGGAGCCAGAGCACAAGCTCAAGTTCCAGCAATGCTGAGTCCATCTGGGGACCAAGCCCAGCTCCCAGCAAAGCCAAGACCACCCAGAGGCCGAGCCAGAGCCACAGCAAAACCGAGGCTGGTCAGGACACTGGCAGCTATTATGCTCCCTGAGGGGCCACTGAGCCCGCACTTCTTGCTGGGGAGGGGGGCGATTCTACCCCCCACACTGGCATTCAGCAAAGCTGCCTCCTTCCAGAGCCATTAGAAACCACAACCAACATGCCTCTGGTCCCATGGCCAAGTTTATTATACTTGTTCTCGTTTACAAAATTAAAAACTTCAAAAACCAGGCCCAGCTGGCAGCTTGAGTCCCTCCATTCATAGAAATTGAGAAGTCCCAGCCTGGCTTGATGCTGGACACAGCGTGTGGGTAGAGCGGAGGGGCCTGAGCAAGGGGCCGGTAACAGACCGAGGAAGGAGGTAGCCGCCACGAGCTGCAGTCCCTGAGTTACAATTCACAGTAAGGAGGCTCAGGCTTGGGGAGGGGAGGTCAAGGCTCAGTGAGGTTCTGGGGTGACCAGGGGTTTCCCTGGGGAAGGCAGCAAAGGCCAAGATGCCCTCAAAGCAGTTAAGAGGCCAGGGCCCTTCCTGGCCCTCTGTGCCCTGGGCTGGGCAACAGCCCTCTTCATCTTCACTTTGTGCTCTGGGTCCCACTATCCAGGAGGCTTGGGACAAGGGTCCCTCTGACAGACGCCCCAGGCCTTTCCTGTATGCTTGGTCAGTAGAGGACAGCAAGAATGCCACCCAGGGAGTCAGAGGAAGAAGGTGATCCGGGAAGCCACGGTCTTGCAGCCGTTGGAGGCGAAGAGCTGCTCGTGCTCAGGGAAGAAGGTGGTGCTGTCCAGCACGGCCTGGACCACCTCGTCCTTTGGCTCCAGGCCCAGCTGCGCCAGCTCATTGAGCACGCAGTGCCGTATGTGGTGCCGCTGCAGTGGGAGGAAGGGCACCACTGCGTCCAGGAGGTGCTCCTCCATGATGCCCGAGTGCCAGAACCCATCTGCAGGAAGGGCGGGTGGGGAGAAGACCCTGTGCTTCACAGGCAGCGAGAAGCCAGCTCCCCCGTGCCTCCGCAGGGACAGCGGAAGCACAATGCTGGCCTCCATCCTCCCAGCCACCTTCTGGACGTAGGGTTCGGAGGGGTTTAAGACTCACCCAAGGTCATAGAGCGGGGAGCGCCAAAGGCTGGGCTCAGAGCTACCAGGTCAATGGGCAAAGCATCAGACCCCGGGAGAACCTGCCCAACCAGGGGAGCTGGCCCACTAGGTCTGGGTGTGAATCCACCCTGGATGGGGTGAGCCGCACTCACGGTTCGGGTTGTCCAGCACAGCCCGGGAGATGACCGGCTCCAGCTCCTGCAGGCGGATCTCCTCACGGTCCTGGCGGCTGCGCCATGCCTCCAATGCCACCTGGTTGATCTGCTCACCACCAGTGTTGCTACAACCATGGGGCTGAGACTCAGACAAGGACTAGTAAAGGGCAGGATTTGGCCCTGACTTCCCCGGTGCCACCTAACACAACCTAGGAGCATAGCTCAGAGCTGGGAGGAGCCAAACCCACTGGAAACATGCCACTTCCCCTTCTGGTTCTTGTATCCACAGCCATGACCCCTGTAATTCACCTATGTGTGCCATGTACTGTATAGTTCACAAAACACTTTTGTGTCCCTTAACTGACTTTCTCTCACCCAGCCTCCAGGAGGACAATGGGGCATTAATATTGGCCCTGCTGTTCAGAAGAGGAGACAGAAGCTCAGAGAGGTGAAGAATTTTGCCTAAGGAAACACAGCTAGGACTGTGAAAGCTGCGACTAGAGGACAAGAACTCTAGTCCTGTTTTTCCCAGGCCTGTGTCCTCCTGGCCACAGAAGAGGGAAAACTCCACCTGGAATGGCTTCCACAAAAAATTGGCAAGAATCAAAAAAACCGAACCCAGAAAGGGCTTTGAGAATGTCAAAGGGGAAGTGAACCACCTTCAGTGACAATGTCACCAGTGAGAGCATGGGCCCAGGGAAAGTATTCCACTGGGAGCACAGGCCAAGGCTGTATAGCTGGACCTCTGAGAAGTATCCCCCGCACTGTGCCCACTGCAAAGCCAGGCCCCACCTGATGAAGATGAAGATGGCTTTGCGATAGTTGGTCCCGTACACAACCCAGGAGGAGCCCAGGAAAGGTCTCAGGACTTCCATCAGGCCCGGGGGCATCTTGTCCATCTCATCAAAGAGGAAGAGCGAGCGGCTGCAGGCAGTGAGGTTCCCCTGGACCCAGCTCTTAAGATCCTTCTGAAGGGGAGAGAGGGGAGTTCAAGGGGGCTGGAGATAGTCCCCCAACCCCAGACTTCTTCCCAAGCCAAGAACTAACCCCCTTCCCAGGGAGATACGGTCTCCCAGAGAGTACCAACCCCTTAATGAGACGCGTGGGGAAACTCTGGCCCCAGAGGGGCAGAGACCCGCCCAAAGTCCCGCAGGCAGTCAGCAGAAGAGCAGGGACTCACACCCGGGCCTCCCACCTCCCTGTTCGAGGCTTGTTCCATGACACTGCTGCTTTCTATACAAGGGAAGGCTCCTTCCTGCTTCCTGAACCTTCCCTGCAGTGTTGACAGCTGAAACAGATCAGCTTTGAAAGCACCTTGCAATCCACAGCAGTAGTAAGAGCTAATATTTACTGAGTGCTTACTGTGTGCCACAAATTGGTGCCAAATGCTTTACAGGGAAATGACAATGCAGACTGTCTGACAAACAGGTGCTCCATAAACAATACCTGCAGTTACCCCATGTCCCTCCCAACAGTCCTGGCAGGTAGGTACTATTACTGCCCCCCAAGAACGAGAGAACTCCCTGCCAGGTAGAATGGCTCTTTCCCAAGCTTTGTGCAGAATGAGTCCTGAGGGCTGGAGCTCCAACTGGCTATGTGGCCTGGAGCAAGTGACTCCCCTGTCTGGGCTCAGGGCTCATTCCCTAAGGGTCTAACACTCTATAGCGCAGGCCAGCCCTGTCCAGGACATGCCCAGCTTACCTTGTAGCGCTCGATGTGGCTGGGATGCGGGAAGTGGATGACGGGGGAAAAGTGGTGCACGCGGGGGCTGCGGAGGCCACCCCGGAAGAGGTAGTGCGCCAGCAGGGAGCTGACATAGGACTTGCCGGTGCCGGTCCAGCCGTGCAGGGACAGGACCAGCGGCTTGGTGGGAGCCGGGTCCTGCACAAAGGCCTTCAGTGCCTTCACCACCAGCGCCTTGGCCAGATGCTGGCCGGCCAGGTGCTGGGCCAGGTCACACTCCAGTCCTAGGGCCATAGAAGGACGGTTTAAGAGCTGAGGACACATCCCACCAAGGCACAGGTTCAAGGTGGCAGTCGTGTCTGGAACCTAGTCTGGGATTCCTGTGTCCTTTTTTTTTTTTTTTTCAGTCAATACAGCCTTTATTAACATGCAAGTACCATTTGCTTCAAGATATACAGGTTTACCTAAACTTTGTTTCAGTTTTTTATTTTAATGTCTTAAATTTAAGGTTACTTGTGGATCTAACACAAAGTAACCTATAAAAGCTGGTTAGGGGGGCCGGGCGTGGTGGCTCACACCTGTAATCCTAGCTCTCTGGGAGGCCAAGGCGGGCGGATTGTTTGAGCTCAGGAGTTGGAAACCAGCCTGAGCAAGAGCGAGACCCCCGTCTCTACTAAAAATAGAAAGAAATTAATTGGATAACTAAAAATACATAGAAAAAATTAGCCGGGCATGGTGGCGCATGCCTGTAGTCCCAGCTACTCGGGAGGCTGAGGCAGAGGGATCGCTTGAGCCCAGGAGTTTGAGGTTGCTGTGAGCTAGGATGACACCACGGCACTCTAGCCTGGGCAACAGAGTGAGACTTTGTCTCAAAAAAAAAAAAAAAGCTGGTCAGGGAGGAGGAGGGAGGAGGGGACGGGTATTTGCATACACAAAGAGTGCAATGCGCACCACCCGAAGGATGGACATATTTGAAACTCGGACTTGGGGGGGGGGGCAAGGGCAACATCAGTAACCTAAACATCTGTACCCCCATAATATGCTGAAATAAAATAAAAAAAAAAGCTGGTCAATGCCACAGAAAGAATAGTTATAAACAATAAAAAAACCTGGTCAAAGTTACACTTTATTTCTAGCTATCACCTTGACTTTTGAAATCACCATTTAGGTTTATAATTGGTGTTATTTGTCACCAAGTGGCAGAATTCTCATACTTGATAAATAATCTTCTATACTAAAATATGTACCAGCATATCTGAAGAAGTTACTAAAAATATGCAATTTATATTTAACTGCTTTCAATAAGCTGAAAAGTACAATGTTTAGGTAGTCTAACAGGAAAAATTACTTTTATTTATGGTTTTTGCAGTTTCCAGAAGAGCTAGTCCATATTAAGCCAGTCTTGAAGAAAAAATAAACTGAAGTCTTAAATTTATAGAACATAAAATGACTTTGTTCTACTACTAAGATACAGACAATACTAAACCCATCTCCAACGCTGCTTTTCCCGTGTCTATGCAGATGCTCTGTCATAGTTTTTCAACTGTTTTTTTGCCTGCTTAATATAAAAGCTGAATGACTTGCTTGTGAGTATGATTTCAGTAGAAGACCCTTTAATTATGGGTATCATATTTATTGGGACATATTTTAATTAATGGAAGATAATTCATGTACTATAAGTATATTATAAGATTTTCACCATTTCTCTCTACATTTTATAACATCCCAATTGGATGGAGGAAGACTGGAACAGTTCAGAAAAACCTAGCTTTTAAGATCTACATAAAGGTCATAGTGAGTCTTTTAAAACACATTTAAACAATTGGAAGTATAATCACAAGGGACTATAAAGAATGAAAATTGCAAAGGAAGCTTTATAGTCAATGAAAATACAGTACTTTGAACTGTCCAAAATGCACAATGCGCAAGCATTGTAAAGTCATGTAGTTTACTTGTTGACCATCCAGCTATGGTTTAGTTATTGCTTCATAAGCTGTACCTAGTAACTTTTCAAAATTGCTTTTAAATAAAGTTCTTAAATTGTAGCAATAAACAAAATCACAAGATATGCTTAAACAATACTGCAGTTTATCGAAAGACATAAGAAATTTCAACTCTT